GGAGCGGGCGGCGGCCGCCGCCGCCGCGCCTCCCCATGGCGAAGAAAACCTACGACCTGCTCTTCAAGCTGCTGCTCATCGGCGACTCGGGGGTCGGCAAGACCTGCGTGCTCTTCCGCTTCTCCGACGATGCCTTCAACACCACCTTCATCTCCACCATCGGTGAGTGCGCCCCGGGGGGGGGGGCTGCCCTGCCGCCCCCTCCCTCCTCACACGGCCCTTTGTTTATCTATATTTTCGCCTATTTGCGCCGTTTTTTTGGCCTCCTTTTCGCCTCAGGCCCTGCAGCTCCCCCTCCCGCCGTGCTCGCAGTGTCCCCAGGGACCCCCGCGTTCCCCGCATCTCCCCCTGTTTACGCCAGGCCCCGGAGCCGCCCTGCGCCCTGGCCTCCCCCTCTCACCCTGTGTGACCCTCTCTTTTACCCCCCCTTGTCACCTCGGCCAGCCGGAGCTCCCACCTGCCTCCCTCCGTCACCCGCTGTCCCCAGCCCCCCTGCTAGCGCGGACGGTGCCAGCGCCCCGACACCCAGGGGACGGTCACGCGCGTGGGTGCGGCCCCTTCCCTCCCATGGCCACGTCCATCCGCCTGGAYCCAGCCCCCCTTCCACAAGGACCCTCGCCATTGCCCCTCACTTCCATCCCCTTCATCTGAGGAGCGAAGGCAGGGGGGTTCCTTGCATTTTTTAGCATTTTTTTTTTTACATTTTCTCCATTTAATCCGTGTTTTTTTTAATAGCCTTTGTGCCTCGTGGGCTTTCCCACTCAGTTTTTCGCAGTGGCTCCCTTTTTTTTTATTTTTCCCCCTCCTCCTTCCCCGAGCACCATCTTGTTTTGCAGATCCAGAGTCCAGGCCAGCAACTTCTAACCTTATCAGTGAGTGACGGTGGCAGTTGAATAGAATTAATGTCCCGGGGGTGTCTTGCAGTGCCCGCTGGCACCCCCAGGCCTGGGAGAATGCAGGTGTTTCAGGTTCAATCCCATGCGGGGTGGGTGTTTTTCTGCTTCGTGTGAACGCCGTGGGTCACTGGCAACGCAGCCAGGGGAGGAGATGGTGAAATCCTAGCGTAGAGTTTGTTCCTGGCCCTCCTGTGGGTTTCCTTGTCGGTGTCCAAGTGTGGCCCTGCAAGTGSCGACGTTAAGTCATGATGTAAAATGACACTCCTAAACCTGCAGTGATTTGAAGCAAAATGAAATCTATCCCGACTTAATGGGCAGCTGACAAGAAACAGTCATTGCCCAGGGTGTCTTGGGCCTCATTCAAGGGCTTTGTTCAGGATTYCCTACTTCTGGGGGGATGTAGGGGAGTTTGCAATAGCTCAGGTCCTTAATCTTGCCTTTTAACATCTCAATTTGGCCGTTGAAGGCTGGGTTTATTTTGTTGCAGTGGCCATCGTTCARTTCCTTTCTGCAGGACAGAATCTGGCCTAGTCTATGTGCTGTTTGTTGCTTTCTGGGCTGCCCAGGAAGGTTTTTGCCGTTAYTAAATCAGGTGTAGTCGAGAAGCTGCTGGTTTATATGGTGGCTCTTGCTTCATAGAACTTGTTTTTGCCACCAGTGATTTTTAGTAATTGCTTCTCGGTCTGCGTCGCTCTGCAGTTTTTAAGCTTTCGAGCAGAATGTCRCCGGGTTTAGTAGCAAATGTGCACGTGCACAATTTGGAAGCATTTCTGAACAGCTGAGCCCACGGAGACCAGTAGGGTTTTCTGGTGTATTTTTTTTTTTTTTAAAGGAGTTTTTTGGGGGGAGTCAATTCACTAGAAGGCAAATAAGTTCTGTGGCTGAATTCTGAGCAAAATGGCCTGTTGTGCTAGCTGTGAGCATGGTTRGATGGTGGATCAGTGGGTCAGAAAATGTCAAATTTGAACCTCCCAGCAAAGCTTAGCAGGTTTCAGGGGGGCAAGCAGGCTTTGCATGTGCTGCTGAAATCCAGCTGCTTACCTGCGCAAAGTTGGCTTAAAATGTGTTTCTTATTACTCTTGCATGTAGTTGTTGAATGAGAACACGTGGTGTGAAGGTGGTCTGTACAAGCAACATCTCTTGATCCTATTTTTTTTGGAAAAAGGTGGGCATTCCATTCACCAGGAAAAAAAAAAAATCTTCATTTCCCATTGTGGGGCAAGATTCCTGTTTTCTCTGTTCTGGCACTTCTGAAGACTGAGTTGTTGCAGCAAAACCAGTGGCAAATAGTGCTGGGAAAATGGGTTATCTCAAGCTGACTCCTGTAACTGGCTGTTTTTTAGCATTTTTCTCCAGTTTTTCTCTGTTGGACAGTGCAATGCTGCACTGATAATAATGGCAATCCACTAATGCAACCTAGAACTGGGGGGAAAAAAAAGSTATTTTGTGTGGCAGCAGCTCCTGGGTAAGTCTCGCTGTAAGTAACTGCACCAACTGTGCTGGTTCTGCGGCTGCAGCAGAAGACTTTGAGGAAAAAATCCTTCAAATGGAGTCTTTGACCTGTAGCAACAAGGAAATACCATTTCCAAATCATTTGTGTACACAGTAGATGACATTGAAGGTGACTGGGCTCTCCCTAGACTGCAGAGAAAGGCTCTTGGTGGTTTGTTAGCTGTGATTCATGTTCCYGTGTTTGCTCTGAGCTCCACCAAGAAGCCGAGGGAGGCGAGCGAGTGAAATGCCCTGGGCTTGACTGCTTCGAGCAGGGGCCGTTTCAGCCTTTCGAGCCTTTCTGAGAAAGGGTGGGTCGCCMAAAATCTGGGAACTAAGGTGTCTGCAAAGGATGATGGTGTGTGCATTAATGCTATGAAAGTAAAAGCTTGTTCGTGTATGTCAATTAAGATTATAATCTCTATTAGTAATTTATTCCCATCTGCTCACGTCTTTACGCACCTTAAGAACCGATGGCGTGATAGCACGTTGGGTATAATTACTAGTAATTTGGGGTATTCTCTTTAGCAGTTGACTTTGAATCACTTCAAGCTCTTCTTTCCTGCTAAAGCAGCAGGTTTTGAGGTGCATGTGTGAATGATCCCGGTACCTTGTCCGGAGCTATTGGGAATGATCCCTGTAGCCCTGCAGGAATCCCAAAGTCATCGGAACCTCCTTGGCTGGAGCAGGGCCCTTATCCTCAAATGCTCCTTTTTCCAAGTAGAAAGTGAGTAAATCTCAGGCTTAGTCTACCACTAGCCACGTTTGTTATTAATAACTCTTGAGGAACTCTGCAAATGTTTTCTAATGTTTGATTTGGAGGAATTTTGTGATGACTTGTTCCAGTTTTGCGTTACAGCCCCCACAGCTGGCTCCGTCCTGGCAGCAGTAGCTGCTCCCATGAATAGTCGTGTTGATCCCTGGCACCCTTGGGCACTGGGTAGTGCAGCCCATCTCAGCCTTGTGCCCACAGCCCTAGCTGCAAAACCCACTCAGTTTAGTCCTTTCTCTTCTGCCTCTAATGCTACTCCTGAATTTTAAAAAGATTGGTATGGATARCCTGCAATCAATATATATGAGACCTACGTTTTCTTGAGTCAAGTTTTTATTGATATATAGCGTGTGAAGCAGATGACAGTTTGAAGAGACTCATTGAAAAAAAGGCCAAAACTGCTTGTGGGGGTCGGATGGAGCCTTCACCTCTGCTTCCTGGGCACGAGCAGTTGGAGGCCGCTCTTCTTGCAGGGATGTCAGGGCCTATAAAAATTTTAATATCAGAATTGAAACCAAGCACATAATTGCTATTGTTTGCCCAAGAAAAATGCAAATGAAGATGAGTCACACTGTTTSCCCGTGAAATCCGGCTACCTCTAGTAGCACGTTAAGAGAACAAAGCGTATATAATCCTTTGGAGACCCCCTTTATACACTATGGATTTATTTAGCTAAAACTTTGTCGTGGATCTTAACACATACTGAAGAAATAGGAAGTTCTGTGTTTGTTAAATTGTTGGGAGTTGCAGTCAACATAATTGACTCTCCAAATCCAAGGAGAAATGGAGAAAAACAGCTTGCTTTTAGTTTTCATTCCTGCATGTCTCATTAAGAATGTAGAAAAAGCCTTTATTCTAACACCCTGTTAGGGTACAAAACAGTATTTTAAATGCAAAGATGCATTAAATTGCTTTCTAGGCAGGTTGCAGTTTTACCTGTTTCTTGTTTTTGAGAAATAAGAAACTTGCTTCTTGAGGCTTCAGTTGAAGTGATCTTTGAGTTGCTAAGCACGTACTTCAGAATTGTTGTGTGTTGGTCCATTTAAGCAGCAAAACTGAAACCAAGTCCTCAGTTATCCCAGCTGGTGAAGAGGTGAGACCTCTTCCTGCATCTTGTGATGATTTGAACACCCGGGTTGTGATGATCAATATTGGGAAGAGGGGAGCCCYGGAGGATGGGCAGACGGGGCCGATGGGGGGAAAAGCAGCTGAGCAGGAGCGATGCTGGAGCCGGGAGCGCAGGAAGCGGCRTGCGGGACCAAGAGGAGTCTCTGCTCCGCCGTGCTGTCAGCTCCCAGGAGCAGCCGCCTCCTCCTTTGGTTCGTGCCCGGCTTTTGGAGGCCAGGCTATAAATGGAGTCAGAAGGAAAGTGCAGAAGTAAACTGAACAGATCCAGCAGCGGCTGGGGAATAAGGGTGGCCTGGCTGCAGCCTGGAGCTTGCGGAAGCTCCTCTAGGTCAATCCTGGGGGCTGAGACCTGGAGCTGTGCACACAGCGAAGGGAAATAACAGCTGAGCATGTGGGGARAGTAAAGAATGAATGAAATCTCATCCTTTTCCAGGGAAAATCCCCGGGAAGAAGCCAGGCCCACGGCTCCTGGCGACGGGCTGTCTGTATAATGCACAGCTTGAGTTCTGGCACCACGGGAAGCGCCCGCTGGCACTGACTTGGGAGCCAAGCGCCGCTTTCCTTGGTGCCCTGTTGAGTGATGAGCACAAGTGCGGGCCTGCGGAGGGAGGGAGGGCTCTGCCTCTTCTGGAATAAATAACGTAGTTCCCTTTATCCCTCCTATTCTGGCCATGAGGAAACACCTCAGTATCTTCTTTGTTTAGTATCCACCTTTACCTGGAAAATGAAGTGGAGAGTCCCTTGATAAGCCACACTGGGGGGAGATGGAAGAAGTTTTCCCATCTCCATGTTTTTTTAAGCTCATGCTGGTGCCCATTGCCCAGGGAGGCTCCAGGCAAGGCGTTTTGGCCGGGCTSCTCACAAGGCTGCCCTTC